TGTGTGTGTGTGTGTGTGTGTGTGTGTGTGTGTGTGTGTGTGTGTGTATGTGTGTGTAGGCCAGTCTGTAATACAGTTCCTGACCATTATTCTCAGAGTCCTCTGTCAGTGTCCTTTGGGCACTATTACAAACATCTGTTCACTTGCTCCCAGGCCCTTCATGGGAGCAGACGGCTGGACTTTAGACCTGAAAAGCCAGCCTGTCCCACTGATCTTTGTAATAGAAGTAAAAGCTAGGAGTCAATCGTGTTGGTTAATCAAGTTGGAATTTGATGGGATCTAAAGTCAGCTAAGAGGCGCTGTATCCCTGGGCAGGTCAGTGAGGGCATTTCCGGGAATGGTTAACTGAGAGCTAAGCCTTTCCTCGGAGTGGACAGCACCTCCTGACCCTGGCCTGGAAGTGGAGACCCAAGGGAAAGTAGCACTGCTCTCTTTCTGGCCCCACTCTCCTGGCTTCTGAGTATCCTTCCTTAGCCTTGCAGTGTGAACTGAAGACAGTGGCTTCCCAAGAGTCCTCCAGGCCTTAGGTGCCAATGGGACAGTGGAAGCCTCCGGCCTCAAGTACTAAGTAAGCAGCCCCTGTCCTCATCCCCTTCAGCGTGCAGGCAGCCACCACTGCCAGCCGACATCACTTAAGCCAGTCTGGAAAAAACCCTGTTATAATATACAGGCATTCTAATAGTTCCATTGCTCTAGAGGGCCCTGACCTTTTGTGGTGACTACGACCCAGTTTATAATGGATTTTTATAGCTGCTCATGATGCGCTGTTAGCTGCTGGCTCCTAGGGTCCAGTCTAGAGCAGCTGCCTTAGCAGAAGACCATCAAGACCTCTTACCCCAGCAACAGACCAGCTCAGTAGAAATACCAAAGACACTGTGGCAAAGTCATGCTCCTGACATGTAAATGGGCCACCCCAGGGAGATGGCACGTAACTGCCAGGCAGTGGACACACCTGTTGTCTGGAATTCTAAATACAAGACTGTGGTCCGAGCACTTAAATTTTGGATCCCAATTTTTATCATCTTGACCACCATAATAGGCTGTCCTTGGGCTACACTGACTTGTGATTTGATCGTCTGGAATTATTGCCTGACAACACAAGAGGTAGACTGAATGCCCTCAATGCAGAAAGTGTGAAGGAAAAGCCCAAGATTACTGACCTGCTTCCCTAAGAGGTGTCAGCGCTGTGACATCCAACAGAGACAGTGATCTTGAAGCTGGCATGAGGAAGTGCTGGGGCTGGACCCTGAGGAATTGGGAAAGACCCTAGTGCAGCTACCTGCAGTGAAGGTGAGAGGAAGCCACCAGGGGACAGTGTGTGCATGCATGAGACTGGTTCTTCAAGGGCACAGCAGGTGGAGCGTCTGCATTCAGAGATGAGCCTGAGTGTATAGACTACCTCCTGCAATTTACAAACTCACCCAGGCTAAAAAGCATGAGTGGTCCTTAGTAACCAGGATGAGACGTGTCAGCCCCCTGCCCTTCCCTCTATCAAGAAGCCCACCAAAATGCCCCCAAACAAACGTGACATTATTCTTTGGCCTAAATGTCTGTTGCTTAGCTGTTGTTCTTAAGTCAAGAAATTAAGTAAAGAATGCTTAGACAAGGACTTTACAGGTTGATCTGGAGCTGTACAGCAAGAATACTGTGCTTGTGGTGCAGATGTAAACTAAAGACAACCTCACCCTCCTTTCCAGATGCACAGGTGACTGCTCCACCTGAGCCCAACTGTAGACATCTTGGACTTGAGCATCAATAAGAACTCCCTCCCCATCATGCAAGGAGAGCAGGTGGGAACACATATACACTGGGTGTATCCAGCCATACCTAATGAGGAGGCTGTTGCCTTTCAGAAACATATGCAATCGTGGGACCCTGCTTTGGCTCTGAGATTGCACAGCATACTGATTTGTGCCGCTGGGTTGCCTCCTTGCGAGACAGGACCATGCTTGCAGGGAGTTACACAAAAGACCTACATGGAGCTCTGTGCTTTGTGCCCATGGTGGTAACAGAGGAGGCTGGTCCACTGCTGAAAGTAAGATGAAATGTACCTTTTGACTGTGAGATGATTAATTCTATGTTGTCAGGAGAATTCTTGATCATTCTAACAGCCATATTGAACGTGAAGCCCTCAAGACTGATGTGATTCAAGGCTAATATCTTCCCTCCTGGAGAGAAAAAAAAAGACTCAATAACTCCAGCAAGGAAATAAGAAAGGTTACTTAAGACATCTCTGGTGACTTAACTAAGGTATACCTGGTTTGATCACTTTAGCCTTTTCTGCTGGTCCCCCAGGTATAAGGGAAGATATGAAAATGCCAGGCTTTGCTTGGTCTGTATCTTCTCCCTCGTTAATGACAAAACCTGTAATCCAAGATGGCATGTAATGATAAGATAATGTTTAATGACTTTGTGGCTCAATAGCTACCAAGTGGAATGACTGATAACTGCATCTGAACGAGATGATCCAACCACATCTAATGATGGAAAGACAGCCCTCCAACACAGCTGGCTCTGTGACAGGACTTGGGGCTGCTTGCATCCATCATCCATCTCTCTCTCTCTCTCTCTCTCTCTCTCTCTCTCTCTCTCTCTCCTCTCTCCTCTCTCTCTCTCCCCCTCTCTCTTTCTCTCTCTCTCTCTCTCTCTCTCTCTCTCTCTCTCTCTCTCTCTGTGTATTTTACATGTGTGTAAATTCTCATGCATGTATGTGTTCATGCATGTGGAGCCCAGAGTTTGATGTTTGAAGTCTTCCTGGATTGCTCTCCTTTTTTTATGTTTATGGTTGTTTGACTTACATGTATGTCTCTGTATCACATGTGTGCAATGCCTGTGGAGGTCAGAATGAGGTGTCAGATCTCCTGAGATCGAAGTTATGATTGTGAGCCATCATGTGGGCTTTTGTCCCTTCACTTTGTTTATTGACGCTGTCTGTCGCTGAACCCAAAGCTCACTGATTCAGCTAGTCAAATTAGCCAGCTTCCTGGAGGAATTCCTGGCTCAGCCTCCTGAGTGTCAGGATTGCAGGTATAATACCACACACACCCAAACTTTTTATGTGGGTGCTGGGGAATCTAAACTCTGGTTTTACACTTGCACGGCAAGCATTTCATCAGTGGCACCATCTCCCCAGTCCCAGGAAAGATGCTCTCTAATCAAATACCCCATTTCAGTGTCTTTTTTCTTATATGTTTTTAAGGATTTTTAAATGTGGCTAATAATTGAAGATACAAAGGATTGTTTACTCCTCTCCAACCTGTTTATACTGAAGAAAGCCTGGTGCAAAGTGTGTGGGGAAGGGGGATTTTATTTTTATCTTGTGCTTAGATGCATCCAGAAAATACATCAGCACTTACAAGGAATCTTTGGTACCAAAAGTGTTTGTGTTCTTCTCAGGCACTGAAAGGAAGGAAACAGTGGAAGGGATTGTTGAGTAAAGCAATTATGAGAAAAGAGGCCAGATTGGGGCAATGAGTGGTGCTTGTCTCTGCTCTGATGAGCTGAGCCTGAACCTTGCCTTCAGGAAGCCCTCTTACCAAAGCCACGATGTGGATCACGCTTCAGTGTTACACACACAATGTCTTGGTTGGATTCTCCTGTACAGCTCTTCCTCCTGCTGTTCTGTGACCCTGGAGGAGAATCAAAGCACCATATTTGGGTTTCTCTCCCAAATCAGGTGGAACTCAACAAAACCACACACATACAAGCAAGAGCAGCTCACAGCAAATCTCCCATCGGCCTGGCAACAACTGAGCACATAGTTCACCGAACTACAACTGGGCCACTGCTGGTCAAGACTGGACTGCAGGAGCAGAGACCATGGCATGATGACCGATGGTGTCCATTTTCTGAGTGATTCACCTTAGCCCTCCCGATTGGTGTTAGAGATGGAACCTAGGACTTTGAACACGTTAGGCAAATGTCCTATCACTGCGCTAAACCTCTAGTTCTTGATATATTTTTAAACATAATCTCTCTGTGTTTCTCATGCTGGCCTCCAACTTACTATGAACCCAACACTGGCTTCAAACTTTTGATCTCCCTGCCCCTGTATTCAAGGCACTGGGATCATAAGCATGAGCCACGACGCTCACCCAAACTTTTTCCTGCACTGGTCTTGAGACAAGATAAAGGGTAAGTGGGGGATGTACTTCCTGTCAGTGACAACTGAAATTGAAACACAGAGATGAGACAGTTAAGTCTCCCCTACTGAGTCTTGCAATAGCTTGGGTCTCAAATGTCCCGGAAAGGACCATGAGTTGAAAGCTTTGTTGCCACTGTGTGTCGCTACTGGAGGTCTGGAGGTAATACAACCTTTAAGAGGGTGCCTTAAATGTCTATAGATATTTGCATGGATGGTACTTGAAAAGGATGCACAATAGCAGTCTCTTTGTCTCTCTGTCTCTCTGCTTTCCGACTCATCGGTGAACAGGCCTCATCCATCATCCACTCTCACTATGATGCGCTCTGCCATCACAGGCACAAAACAAGAGAGCCCAGCAACCTGGGCTGAAACCTCTGAAGTCAAGGGTAAAAACAAATGTTTTCTTTCTTTTGATTTGTTTTAAGACAGGGTCTTATTATGCAGCCCTGGCTGGGTCAGAACTTGATGTATAAACTTGGCTTGCCTCAACCCACAGAGATCCCCTGCCTCTGCCTTCCCACCGTTCCCCTTTTTAAACTTACTTCTCTCAGAAATTTGTTCTAATAATGGAAAGACAATATATATCCCTGAAATAAAAGTGAATGAAATTTATGCCCTGGCAACGCTGAAGCATGCATGGACAGCCTGTATATGACAGTTCTGTTGAAATTGTCCATACTGGGTTTCATGGTCTACATTGATGAGGATGAATAACCAGGTCCCTTCCTCAAGAGGGCACCAGATCTCATTACAGATGGTTGTGAGCCACCATGTAGTTGCTGAGAATTGAACTCAGTACCTTTGGAAAGACAGGCAGTGCCCTTAACTGCTGAGCCAACCAGTCACCAAAGTGTAGGGGCTGACGGCCCAGCTTGCATGTCCTGGTGTACTTTCTAAACTTATGTCTGGAGGAGACCCAAAGCAGAACCCTAAAGCTGTTTCTAGAAAGCTGGAGTCTTGGGGTACAACACAATTTCTGTCGCAGTTCCAGTGGGAAAATCTCCCACTGGTGATCTACCACCAATCCACATCTTTCCTCCCCCAGGGGCATGCTTGAGTCTGGCAGACAGTTTAGTTAATCATAGAGAGCTGTGGCAGCATCCAGATGTGGCTTCTGGCTAAACATCCTTTAAGTATCAGTAGTCTTCTTAGCTACAGCATCTCTGTCTTCGCTTTTGACTGAACTTGAGGAGATAAACATACTGCCCTCCCTATGTCCCTGTGGATGCCTTCTGGGGAGCACTGGGTGATACTGGGAGCCCATGAGAAGCAGCAGAGGTGATATTCCTCATACTCAACCACAGTTTTGGCAACCACCTCCCCAAAACTCTCCCCTTATAGATTCAGACACCACCCAAGGCCAGATGTTAACTAGGAGAGGCCTTCCCAACTCCGAAAAGTTTTAAGAAGAATTTGTAAAGCAAAACGATGGTGAGCTTTCTTTGGGAAACAAACTGAAGAGGTGGGAAAGATCTAGAAAGAACCACCCTTCCCACACCTGGCCAGGGTTCAGTCTGTACCTGTGCACATGCTCTGGAACGTTGTCCCAGAGAGAGGCTGAGTTGGCTTCTGGATCGAACTGATGCTGTTCAGTTGCTCTTGGCCAGTGTAAAAGCTGAGGGGAAAGGTGGAAACATAAGATTGGGAGCTCCTGGAAGGGGCCACCTTGGCCATTTGTGAGTGCAGCTCGAAGAAGACAGCCTTGTGCTAAACAATTCAGTAGACCCAAAGACCAGCCACACCGCAGGCTGGCCTAGTGGGCAGTACAAAACGAGCAAGAATGTCATTAGGGTCACTGTCCCAGAGGGCTCATCACGTCAGCCAGACCTCACATGGACCTCCACTGCCCATCTTAGCTTATTATGCAACAGCTGCCGAACCCCATTTCCTCGGTCATAAGATAGGACTGACCTTCTAATTTCCCAGGCTCATAAAGTCACCAAACTCTAGCAGTAGCCATACAGAGCTGTGGTGGCAATCCTAATGGTTCATTCTTTGCTCTTGCTTTCAGTTAAAAGTCCCTAGAAGGGTCAGGCTACCCCACTTACGCTGTGTTCCTTGAGGACAGCATACTCATCCATCTATCAGGAGGAGTGAGTTGGGGGCCCCCTTGATACCTGGGAGTTTTTGAGCAAGCATTCAGCTGACTAAATGTGTAGTGGCATGGTTCGGATGTCATTTCCTCCCCAGGGTTCAAGGGTTCAACTGTTGAAAGTTTGGTCCTCCGGGGCAGGTGGGGAGATGCTACTGGGAGGTGACTGGATTTTTAAAATGAGGGGCCTAATGGGATATGATTACATCACTGGGGATACCCTCCTTGGAATGGATTAATTAGTTCCTATGGGACCCCAGTTAGTTCTCTGACACAGAGTTGTTTTAAAGGGCAAAACCAGCTTGGCCCCTGGCCCTGTCCTTCCACTGAGTCTAGCATGCATTCTCGTGAAATCATCTGCTATGGGCTGGAGCAGAGGGTCCTGCAGAACTAACCATCACCAGGCTGCTTAGATTTTCAGCTTTCAAAATGCAAGCTGCTTAAACCCCTTTCTTCTCTTAAGGTGCCCAGCCTTGTTAATCATTTTTACAGCAACAGAAAACAGACCAGTGCATATATTATTCCAATAAGCAAAGACTGTTCTAGACAGTGGACTGATAATAAACCAAGTGACCCAGGGCCACCTCAAAGCGCGCGCGCGCGCACACACACACACACACACACACACACACACACACACACGTGCGCGCGCATTGGGTCTCCTAAACAGTCAACCACCAGATCAGTGTCACTCAGCCTGTCCCGAACACCAGGGAGGCTGCCTTTCCCGTGCTGATTAGACAATTGGACTGCAGCAGATGCAGGTAGCCATGCGTGGACCCTCTTGGCGTCCCCAGGTTTGGGAGGTAGGGCTTGTGGGAGGAGCAGGGACAAACCGAAACCGGTCTTTCCCAACAGGGAGCCGCCTCAATCTGTATTTACTCATGTTTGCATCAGGTCCTGTGACAAGTCCAACCAAATTTGATTAAAACCAACTAGAGGCTAGGCCTGGTTTTGCAAGGTATATGAGTAAGAGATGGGCCTGCCCTCTAGAAGTTTTATGGGCCATCAGCCTCCCAAGCCCATTGAAGGGAGAGATATAGGCTCAAGGGAAGGAAAAATCCCAACACCCAGGGAGGACCTGAGAGAGGCTTGGGCAGTGTCTCTGGGTGCCCTTTGAAGAACAGCAAGGACTTATCTGGTCTGGGTTTCTATGGCTCGTGTGATCTGGGTCACCCAAGAAACCGGCTCTCGGGTGTTAAAAATCCATTTACTATTGGCCACACGAGGACAAATGGCATGTGCGTCAGTTATTATGTGAGGAACTTCGAGGAGTCACACTCACAGCCAGAAAGTAGATTGTGGGTACCAAGGGCTGTGTTAGAGTTAGGCTGGGTGGGAGGAAGTACTGAGGGAAAGTGGGCTCCACGTGGGGCGATGAAGACCCCGTGAAGGATGCCCGACAGCAATGTGAATGTGCCAATGCCACAATGAAACAATAAAATAGAAGGCATAAAATGGTAATGATGATACATTTTATGCTTTGTGTATTTTACCACAATTAAAGAGTGTTTTTCTCTCTCTCCTTCCCTCCCCCCCCACTTCAAAATGCCAGCCTCTCAAAATCCATTTACTGAAAACTTCCACATTCCGCCTTCAGAGCGGAGGATACAACTGGCGCACTGCTATTCTGGGGAGTCTCTGTGTTTAGAACAGAAGGTTGAAAGCATGTGCTCGCTGGGGTGGGCACACACAGCGAGGGGCTTCCTAAATGGAACCAGTGTGCAGAGAAGCAGCCTCTTGCTGGGCAGTCAGAAAAGGCTTCAGATAAGTAAGAAAGGAAGGTGGCCAACATCCCTGAGTGCAGAGGCTTTGTGGAAATGGCTTCTGTGAGTGGCGCTAGTGATTGGGTCCCCTCGGTCAGGGCCACAGGCTGCTCACTCTAGCCTACATGCCTTGCTCATCAAGCCATCAGCATGACCTGCTCATCCGCACATCATTCTGACTGGTCATTTCTGCCTACCTGTGAGCACCGGGAGGCACTGACCCTGCCTGTGCTGTGAACACCAGATTCTTAGCACGTATCCAGGACACCTAGGACAGGCATGCAATAGATGCTGAAGACACTACTCAGGCTTGCCCATGACTTTCCTCCCCTCTGTCTAACTGAATACAAATCTTACCTGCCAACTAAGGCCTGATGTCACACACACACACACACACACACACACACACACACACACACACACAC